GGTGCTCAAACAAGAGTGGCAACAGCCCCTGCAACCAAACCAAACCAAACCCCACAGTGATGGAGCTCAAAAGCCAACCGAAAAGGCTCCCAGAGGCCAGAACTGGAATAATTCGAGCAATAGAAGAGAAAAGGACGCTCAAAGTATAAAATAAATATCCAGGGGCCATACTGATCAAAAGAAGCGATTAAAGACTTGAACGAATAGTAGGGCAGATAAATCCTCCTCTGCGCAGAACTCGAAATAAGTTTTGTCAGTCTAACTCTAAGGCCTGTAATTCTCATTTTAACATCATTGAAAATTATATGAATTATTAATAATAGTCTATTTGAAGAGGCAAGACTAAGGGATGACAAAGCCACAGGGAATCCTTTAATTAAAATGAGAAAACTAAAGGTCAGACAAAGCCACCAGCAGGGAGCTCTTCGCATACTTTACCTGAAGGTTTCCTCGCTAATGAAACTTAGCTGGCAACTACTACTTACTCCTACGGAGATCTTAAGAGGACAGCTCACTTGGGTCTCTTCGTAGCTATTTGAACAAGCAGGGGTGTGTGTCCTCGCACAAGAGCACATTCACTTCCACATAGACACACCCTCCAAAAGAACAAGAAATGTATAATTCTGTTTTTATGTGTAACTAAAACAAGTCTTCAGTGTTTACTAGTTTCTGAACCCCAAACAATGATGGGATGCTGTCATCTTCCTGGTCACCCATCGCTGATTGCTCACTCTCTGAGTGACTCAGGAGCAAACACACTGCAGACACACCCCTTGTCCCTCTGAAAGGCACATTCAAAGGAGGAGTGGGCTGTGACTAAGCTCGTGAACTTTTACAGTAAGTTACGCGTTGCTGAGAAGTAGGCACCAAACAACGGCTTCTTTTAAATGGTAAAGTTAGCTGGGTACAGAGGCTCATGATTTTCACCCAGCATTTTGGGAGCCAGAGCGGGGAGGATTGCTTGAAGCCAGGAGTTCAAAACCAGCCTCGGCAATATATAGAAACCCTGTCTCTACACAGAAATAAGAAAAATTAGGCAGGTGTGGTACTATGCGCCTGTAATTCTAGCTAATTGGGAGCCTGAGGCAGGAGGCTGGCTTGAGCTGTGTGACTTATGTATCCTGCTACATCCCATGCCCTGCCTGGGCAACAGAATAAGGCCTGGTTTCCAAAAAATAAATTAAATAAAAAGCCGCATTGGCACCACTACAACTGCTGAAAAGTATATTTAATTTTTTGACTAAGAAAGTTTTGACAGTCCAACATGACTGAAATGGTGGCACTGTGTCAGTCCACACTGCTTACACTCTCCTGCCTGTCCTTGTCACCATGGGTGGCTCCTGCTCAGGCCTGCCTAGGTAGCTGTGAGTGACAACCCTCCCAGACAGCCTTCTCAGAATGAAGGGGCACCTCACAGCATTCATGAAATCCCAGGTAAAGAGTACTTACTTATTCTCAAGTAACAGTATTGACTTTAAAATCTTTTATCCCCCTTCTACTATAGATGTCACAACTGTCGGTGTAAACATGAGCCTGAAAAAAGAGTGATTCCTTTTTTTTTTTTTTTTTTTTGAGACAAGAGTCTCAAAATATTGCTCAGGCTAGAATACCTTGGCATCATAGCTCGCAGCAACTTGAAAGTCCTGGGTTCAAGTGATCCTCCTGCCCCAGCTTCCTGAGCAGCTGGGACTACAGGTGCTCACCATGATGCCCAGCTAATTTTTCTATTTTTGAAAAGATGAGGTCTTGCTCTTCCTCTTGTTCAGGCTGGTGGGGAACACCTGTGATCAGAGGAGCCTCCCTCCTCAGCCACCCGGAACGCTAGGATTACAGGTGTGAGTCATTGTGCTGACCAAAAGAGTAATTCTTTTTTTTTTTTTTGGCCGGGGCTGGGTTTGAACCCACCACCTCTGGCATGTGGGACCGGCGCCCTATCCTTTTGAGCCACAGGCATCACCCTCAAAAGAGTAATTCTTAAGAGGCCAAATTAGGCTTAAATTATAAATTCCAGGTGTGATTTTTTAAATAACTCGTCCTTATCATACAGGCCAGACAGAGCAGAAATCAGTTGTCACATGAGGGCTATAATATGTAGGAATATATTAAAAGAGAATTGGATGAAAACGTTCTTTTTTCATATTTTATTCCCTTTTTGGAAAGCTGCCTCTGAACATACATACAATGATGTATGAAAAGTACTAATCACACAACAATTTTCAACGCAATTAGTTAAATAAGAGGCCAAAAATGCTTAAATACTCCCATGTAAGAGTTGTGAATCCCTGTCTCTGTCCGACATTTCATGCTGATGTGAAATGATAAAACTATTGTCAAATGATGCAATATTATAAGTACGCTCTGGAGTCTGGGTGCATTAATTCTGTAATTTCCTTTATGTAATGGAAATAGTTTCTCTTCCAGAGCCATATAAATGGCTGAAGAAAGAACAAGGGTGGGATAATAGATCATGGAATTTAAATTGGCCACCTAAGCCACTGAGGTCAATGCCCGCTGTGATCTAAGGTGTTTGCGCCTGCTGTGAGTACGTCAGTGTCCTGGGGCACCTTACAAGGCGCAGTCTGTGCACAGTTGGGAAAGGGAGGAGGCTGGTGGAGCGACTTCCTCACCAGCCCGCTCACCCACTCACTTCTCCAGCAACCTCAAGGGGATACTGTCCACCTACAGTGTTTTGTTTACATCAGTAGCAAGGACACATGAGTCACCTTCCACTTTTTAGCTGTAAATGAAGAAGTGACCTCTGACACCCACACGTGTGACTGGCACTTATACGGTGACATAATATGCCAGGCTTTCTGCATTTCATACTCTGATTCACACAGTCACTGATGGGACTCTGGCAATGTTCTCCACTATGGGTCTCGGTCCATGTCAGATGCTGCCCTGTGGCTTCAACTTTCCCCTAATAGAAACCTACGTGGTGGCCGCTGCTCTATTAAGAACCCTGCTGGTGCTGCAAATTCCAGAATAAAGGAAATATATTTCAAAAATGTTTCCTTTCTTAAAATTATTTTCCTTCTATAAGAGGAAGATTATAATTAGAGTAACTGGATTAGACAGATAGAGAACAGGGAGGAGGAGGAGAGTGCTGGAGAGGCAACAGCATTACTAGGAAAGGATAGGGAGCAAAAAATAACCAAATCAGGATTATGCTCCTCAGAAGGATTTTTGGTGAAATCCTGATCGCTTTGCAAGGGTTTTGTTAAAGTTACAAGTTATAACTAAAAGGAGTTAAATATGTAGCTAACGAGGAAATGGGCATCTTCTGAGAGTTATCCTTGTGACAGAAACTGGGCCCTTGGACGGTGAATCTGCAGCTCTAGCCCCCAGAGGTACCACTCAGCATTAGAGGAAAAAGGAGAAAGCACTCACTGTTTCTGCTTGAATTTGCAAAAAGGGGAAAAGTTGCAATTCCTAAGGTAACTGAAACGATCAGTAAAGGCTTTGGAAAATGGCAGTTGGTCAGCTTATTGTTTAGTCTCTTAAAGATCTCTACCCTCTTCGAGTCACCATTCTCAGTGAGAATTAGGAGGCCTGCCTAAGATCACCAGTTTTGACATCGATCTAGTAAGGCAGCACCAGTTACTCCCTCTGGTTGTTTTTCTATCAGGTTACAAATGTTTACTTTCTAATTTGTAATGTAAAACTTAGAAATCTTTTCCAACCCTCCAATAGGAGGTCTGTATGGAAGTATGAAGGCTCTTATACTTTAGAATTAACTCTTTGCATGTGTCATTTGAGAATTAATAAAAGGTGATGATTAACAGGTCCCAAAATATTTAAGGAATTCATCTTGTCTGGTTATATCACCGTACCTTAGTAGAACTGCAGTGACGAATTGACCAAGAGAGGCCATAATAAAGGGGGTATGGGGAGGTGGGGATATAGGACCACAGCATGTACTAAATATGGATAACAGACAAGAATTGCACTTTTTCCCAAGAGAGCTAGTGAGTGGTGACAATCTTTAGATGGAGAGTGGGGAAAATGTTTTTATTGGTGAAAGAAATTTTTATTAGGTAGAGAAACCAGAGGAGGGCAATTTAAGAGAAAAACAAGGCTATTTTTGATAGAAATATAGGCAGTCTTCAAGTTGCAACAACTTGCACTTAAGAATGGAGGCAATTGGCTCGGCTTCTATGGCTCAAGCAGCTAAGGCGCCAGCCACATACTCTTGAGCTGGTGGGTTCGAATCCAGCCTGGGCCCACCAAACAACAATGATGGCTGCAACCAAGAAAAATAGCCAGGTGTTGTGGCAGGTGCCTATAGTCCCAGCTACTTGGGAGGCTGAGGCAGGAGAATCGATTGAGCCTAGGAGTTGGAGGTTGCTGTGAGCTGTGATGCCACAGCACTCTACCCAGGATGACAGCTTGAGGCTATGTCTCAAAAAAAAAAAAAAGAATGGAGGCTATTGGGCAGTTTCTGTGGCTCAAGGAGTAGGGCACTGGCCACATATATCGGAAGTGGCTGGTTCAAACCCAGTCCCAGCCAAAAAAATGCAAAAAAAAAAAAAAAAAGAATGGAGGCTATTACAGTTAAGTCCCCAAGTTACAAACATCCAACTGACATCTGACTTGCACTTAAGAATAGAGGCTGTTACCAATAATAAATAAATGTACCTATTCCAACCTATATAAGAATTCGACTTAAGAACAAACCTACAGAACCTATCTTGTTCATAACTCAGGGACTATTATCTGTATGTAATATCTAAAGTTCCTCCGTGTTGGAAATCCACATTTATTCCTCTTATTTTTCTTAAACATTACTTTTATTGTTCATTAATTCCATGGAAAAATAATACTTCTGTGCAATTTAACCCATTTTTAATGAACAATAGCAATGATGTTATGTTTGTCCTACTTTGTATGATTTGACTAAACAATGTACATATTTGTTACACAGATTCTAGTTACTTGTTGTGTATAATTATAATGTACTTAATATGATGAATCTCTTTTAACACAGAACCTCTACTTACAAAAATAGAAATGACCTGGTGTCCAGAGGCAGATGGAAGGCTGTCACCTCTGCATCAGCAGAGAGCTGTTTGTCTCAACTTTCTCAGGGAGACTCCTAGCAGAAGAGGTTTCTTCTAGGAAAAACAGAAAAATTACAATAGGATCCCATGAAATAAAACCTACACTGCAAGAGCCTAGCTAAACGCCCTGAGCACAGGAGTCTGAAGCCAATACTATTGTGTTGAATCGCAAATTGATCTCATGTTTTGGTTGTATTTTGATTAAACGAAAGCATCTGTCTATACAATTTTCCACCTGTGCAGTAATCAGCTAATTTTTGTTTGCTTGTTTTTGATCTCTAAATGCTTTGCTTCATTTGTAAGCACATTCTTTGCCCCTCACCTTTTCTCTCTTCTTTGTGTTAGCTTTGCTAAGACACACAAATCAATAGATCTGATCAGTTACTCTAGAGGTTGGCTAGCTTCAGAAGCAATAAATAGTTTTATTTCTTGTCGGCAGGTACCACCTCCTTGCAGTCTGGCTGCGTCCCCAGCTACTGTTCTGACCTGTGGCCTCTGCTCCTCTGAGCCAGAGGACTGGAGGCAATGGTGTGAGGAAGCCAGCCTCCGTTATTTCCTGACAACTCACTGGGGTCATCTGTTTCCTGACTCATGCATGTTAAAAAATGTCAGGTTGGTAGTTTCCAATTGGCCATGGTAGGAGTATTTAAACCATAGAAATCAGCAAACATTACAAAGCAGGTCCTTTTTTTGTAAAAATCTGGTAGTTGAACACTTACTGGCACACCACGGGCTGGATCTGAGAAGGCTCGAGAAGGTGGAAAGAGGTGGAGAATGAGAACACAAGCTGTTCAAAGACTCCCTAAGAAAACAAAAGAGTGAACCAAAGCAGCCTCATGATCTTTAGTCCTCATTGACACCGGCAGTTCTCACAGCAGATGGCTCTTCTCTTAAGTTGGTGTAATGTTGCAGGGAGCACCGTTACAGAGAGAATGGCCTGAAAAAAAAAGGCAAAACAATGTCTCTCCACGTTTTTGGGAACTGAAACTTGCATCCCTGCCTCTGGCCAGTGATCAGGAGGGGCAGGGAATGTCTCTTGTTCTTTGTGCCATAGGGGATACCGCAAGGAAGTCATCTGGGCAGAGGTCACAAGATCGTAGCTGAAGATGGGCTGTGGGGAGGTCATGAGGTCCTCTTAGCTGAAGATGGGTTGACTCTGGGCAGAGGTCATGAGATTGGCCTGGCCCCACATGGGATTTTTGAGATCAGAACCTTTAAAAGCTCTGTGCTTCTGCTCAGAAGCAGGAATTTGGATTTTGAGACCATTGTCTTCTTTGCTGGTGGAGTAATAAACTTCTCTTTCCTTCTTCTCAAATGGCTTGTCCCTCTTTTTCTGATGTAGCTTTGGGGGACAAGTGCCAAACTTTCAGGACTAGAACTGGGCTGGGAATTAAGGAACCTGGATTCTTCCTCATCCCCCCACTGCATGCCCATGTGACCTGGGCAACTCGTTGGATCTCTCCCAGCCTCAGTTTTCTTGCCTGTAGTCCAAAAGTGTGGTCCTGGGGTGCGGTTTAGACCATCTTTGCTAAAGTGTGCTCCATGCACCACCAGCATGGGCCTTACCTGGGAGCTGGGCAGGAAGTAGACTCTCGGGTCAATGTGGGATCCACTGAAACAGAATCTGCGTTGTCACAGCATCCCTGGCTGGACCGTGTGCCTGCTTGGAGGAGCATTGGACTAGGTGAGCGGTCCCCAAACCTGGATGAGCATTTGGAAAGATTAAAAAATATGTATTTCTGGTCTTTAATTCTGACCCCCTGGATTAGGATTTCTGGAGATGTTTAAAAAGTCCCCGAACAGATTTTGAGGACCAGGAATGTGGTTCCTTAGCCCCTGTGGTCTGTTCCAGTCTCTGTAGTCCCTGGTTGCTCTGACAGAAGTTGCTCACCTTCAAGACATGCTATCCTTAAATCTGCCAGATGTGACAGTTACCAAAATTGGTGAAAAAGCAACTATTGAAAGGGTGAGAAACTACGAGTTTTTAAAACACCTTTGTTTCATAAAATATGAAAAGGTGCTGTAGAAAGCTTGGATTTTGGAAAAGATACCATAATCTTTTAATATGAAAAGAAATGCCAGCAGAAATAGATGACTTCATGGGCTTGGAAGAAAAACTAAAGAAAAAACAAACGACCTTGTGAACGTATCTGTCCCTGGCAATCCCCACTGGCATTACATTTATGAAACCCCAATTTAAGGGGTTTCAGATTTGCTTGTCAGAGATACGAGGCTTAATGGGTCAAACGTGGCTGAAAAATCAGAAAATCTACTTTTAGCTACATATCATGAAATGGAGATTCATTAACTATTTCAGTGCGGTTCTTCCAGGGGATAAACTTGGGAGATATAAAGTAACGCCCTTCTCGTGAAATAATTCTATGATCATGTGCATTTTTTTTTGCATTTTTAATTTTGTATCACCAAATACCACTAGAATATGGGCAACTCCCAGTTCAAAAACTCACCTAAGATTATCAATTAGGAGTAAGCCTGCCTTCAAATACTAGAAAATGTGACTCCTAATTAAGAGCTTTTCTTTCTCCGATGTTAACAAAAGTGGATGCAGAAATGTTGAGGGCAGAGTCTCACGATTGCCTGGCCTTTCCTTCACATGGGAGAGAACTGCTTCAGCTTCTGACCCCAGCCCCTGTCATCCCAGGTAGGAATGAGCACAGGTTACCATTGGCTACACTGCTTCAAAGGGTGCAAAGGTTTCTCACTCTGGCACCCCTAGAATATGGGCAACTCCCTGTTCAAAAACTCACATTCCAATTCTTGGGCTTAAGCAATTCTCTTGCTTCAGCCTCCCAAGTAGCTGGGACTAGAGGCACCTGCCACAGCATCTGGCTTTTTTTTTGGCTGCAATTGTCACTGTTGTTTAGCAGGCTGGGTTTGAACCCACCACCCTAGGTGTATGTGGCCAGTGCCCTGCTGACTGAGCTGCAGGCGCTGCCGAGTTTTGTCTTTCAAACTGCATTGCCAGAGCTTTCTAATTTCTAAGATTCTCTCACTTGGACGCTCCCTCTACAACTCAAAAAGCATTCTGTCTCTACTTTGCCAAAAACCAATCTTTTAGTTCCTACAGAGAGCAGTCTGCTTAGCAATTAACTCTGTAATGAAGTCTTCTCAGATTATTTCCACGTAATGAATTCCTCCTTTTCTAATCATTTGCATGCACATTTCATCCCACCGCAGCATGGATTCATGTACCTACTGCACCATTGCAGGCCCATTTTTTCCATAGCTTGTCTCCTGTGCTCCTCAAAACAACTTGTTCTTAACAATCCCTCCATGTCTCAAACAGCACCAGGCATCGTAATAACTGCTAAGCTGAACTGAAAAAAACAGTGATGTGAGAAAAATAGTGACTGACAAAGATTCGTTTGGCAAAGTCGAGAGAGAACACTTTTTGAGCTATAGAGGAAGAGTCCAGGTAAAAGAACCTTAGGAATTAGAAAGCTCTGGCGATGCAGTTTGAGGAGTATCACTATTCTGTTCTATGCAGAGCAGCGTGCAGCCCAAGGCCTGCATCTCATTGGTGTCCTTGTGTAATGCAGTGAATTCTTTGCACGTACACTTGGGATGCTTCATATTCATACAAATCGCCAGGACCACAAATACAAATTATAATCGTAGACCCCATAAATTTCACTTATCCCTGGTGAAATATTGGAGTTGAGCTGTCTGTAGAGCAGCCAAGGAATTTTCCCAAGGAAACTTGTCATTAGAATGAAGCTACAGCATTCCATGTCTTAGAAGAGTGGCCAGGAAAGGAAGATGCTTCATGCCTGACAAGCGTGAACCTGGAGAATCAGGGCTCTGAAACTTCACTGGGGATGTATAACATGCAGGCACCAGAGAAATCCCAGGGCAGCCAGCGACATGTGGGTTACTTTATGAGGGAAAGAATCAACAAACTACTTAGTATGTGTATTTTATCTGCTTCTCCCTCCCCAGCCTTCTGTTTCAAGTTATTTTTGTACCCATATCACACGTTCTGTATTTTTCAGACATGCATTAACAAATTAGAGAGCAGATTCTTACTGACATTCACATTTTTCTCTTGATGGATATATCCCTGTAACGATGTACACGGTGCCATCGTTTGAAAATAATCACAAATGGTGAAATTGGTGATTCAGGAATTATGGGGTCAAAATGAAGAAAACATGGAAGGAGCAGAGAGAACTGAAAAGCCTACAAGAAAAAAAAAACAAGCTCTGATGACACACATGGAAAGTGAGAAATGCAAGTTACAGCAGTCAAATTGGAAAGTCAAAAATATATCCTGCCTCTTTCTTCATGGCATAACTTATCAATGTAGCACATTTCTGAGGATACATTCTGTTCTTCAAATGGTAGCTATGTCTACAAACAATATCAGTTAGAGGAGAGAAAAGCCTACCAAAAATAATACTAAATTATTATTTTTAAATGATCTAATGTTGCGTGGCCCATGTGATTTAATTTTCATTTCAACTAGTTGGTGTGTGATTAGCTGTTTATATGAATAAAAAATAAAACGCACATCCTGTTAATCAATATGTGGTTTATATATTTCCCCACTCTTGGTCCATATTCAGAAGGAATCAAAAGGATCTTCTTGGGGAAAAAAATATTCACCATGCCTGGCAGGGCGCCATGTTCATCTTCCAAGTCATTGTGTTATTTTGGTCCATTGTGTTATTTTGGTCTTCAAGGCTCTATACTTCTAGGAGGAGATTTATTAAGAGCCAAACAAGGCACATTGCCATGTTTCTATTTTGAATGTTGGAGAAGTTACTACTTCTTATTTCTTTTTAGAAGGAAGAATATTTACTTAAGCATAAACTTTGTCTTAGAGCACTGTTCTAAGGAGCAGGTTGGGGAGAGCACCACAGTCATTTTTATTAAAAGAGATCTGCTCAGACCATTGCATTAGCTGATATAGGAAGGAAAGAATAGCTTAGTCAAATTTCATACTTGTACCACATGACTTCTTGGTGGAGCAGAGAAAAAAACCCAAGGTTCAGGCCACATTTGAAACATCATATTTCCCTTTTTAAGATATTAGAAGACATACTCATGATGCAAAAATTTCATTCCTAGGTGTGTACCCAAGAAAACTGAAAACTTATTTCTACACAAAAACTTACTGAGTTGACATAATATGATCTACTGAGCCAATAATATGATCTTTTATCTAGAAAACCCCCAAGACTCCACCAAGAGACTCCTGGAACTGATAAATTAATTCCCCAAAGTCCCAGGTCACAAAATCAATGTACATAAATCAGTAACATTTCTATACATTAATAAGCTCAGGGCCAAATCAAAGACTCAATACCATTCACAATAGCCACAAAGAAAATAAAATAGGAGCATACTTAACCAAGGAGTTGGAAGAGCTCTACAAAGTGAACTGCAAAACACCGAGGATATAAATTGCAGATGACACAAACAAATGGAAAAGCATATAATGATCATGGACTGGTGGAATCAGAATTATGACAATGTCCAGGCTATCTGTAAAGTTATTTACAGATCCAACACAATCCTCAATGTAACACCAACATCATATTTCACAGGTCTAGAAAAAAATAATTCTAAGCTCTATTTGGAACCCGAAAAAAACACAAATAGCCAAACAATCTTAATCAAAAGAACAAATCTGGAGGTATCACGTTCCCAGACCTCAAACTATACTACAAGGCTATCATAACCAAAACAGTATAGTATTGGCACACAAATAGAGACATAGACCAATGGGATGGGACAGAGAATCCAAGTATAAAACCATTCACTTACAGCCAATTGATCTTTAACAAAACACACAATAATATACACTGGAGAGAAGAAACTCTATTTAATAAATGGTACTGGGAAAATTAGATAGCCACATGTAGACCACTGAAACA